AAGGTTCCATCAATGTATAATACAACAATCCCCTACCATAAACAGTCAAAATCTCAATTTTGTACTCACACACGTGCTAAAGGCTTGGATCTCAATGCTACGCCCGCCATCTTGCTGTTTTTGAATCCACCCACCTCCTGCAGACACCACACAGATTGCAGCCCCACAATGAACAAAGCCAAACCCAGCAGATCATGTTTACACTTAAAACCTGGCCTCTGAATTCCTTTCACCTCCTCCGCAGGTTCAAACGTGTCTTTGCAAAAACGAAGGGCGAGACATGCGCTTTCTAAAACCCTGAAACGTGAGACTCCTCGGCTGGCAAATTTTACAGCCGACGCCAATTCTTCCACGGGACGGAGCCACCTCTACCAAACTACGCCGCAGAACTCAAATCTGTGCCCAGAACAAAGGAGAGAGAGTGAGGCAGAGTGGTGATGTTATTGGACTTTCAGCTAAGGAAATCCCCTGGGTGACTTTGGGACTGTCAGTCCAACCTACCTCGCAGGGCTATTGTGGGAAAAACAGGAGACAGAACTATTATGTACATCGCCCTGAGGGGGCAACATTGTGGGAAGCGAAAAGACAGAGTTAGCCTTTGAAAAGCAGGGCAGGGGATCCCTAAGTCGGGCAGGGATAGAACAAAAGTGGACTTTGGTTTAATTAACACTGGAATGTAATTAAAACCCAGCTAATGTATTTCGTCGTTTTCTCCTCCTGCCACTTTCCAAATTGCAATTCGGTGGCATCTTCTACAAGACCTTGAGACCTAAATGTATGGCTGCCACAGGGCACCGTTCATAGATGCCCAGAATACAGCGTCCTGGGGAACAGGATGCTGGTTTAATCCTGGTTCATTTTGGCATTAGGTTAGAGAGGAGAACTTCGGCCCGGCTCCTTGCAGACTTCCATTTAAACAGCCTCTGATTCTGTCTCTTCCATCAAACGGTACTTTTACTAACAGAGCAGATGAGTGAACAATTTCACTGGACAATTATATAGCGAGACAGGAATTATAATGGTGCAATGGCAAGAAGGGAAAAGATAGGAATTCTGGACCTTCAGTCCCCTTGTTACTACCTGTCTTCCCCTTAGAAAATCATTTGGGGACGCCCAACTGGCTTTGGGGCAGAAAAAGAGAAGCATCCATTGTGTTTTCTACCCAAGAAAGCTTCTTTCTTCCTCTTCTTCTTTCTACCTCTGTTTGGCACTTCCCCAATGGCATTTAGGTGGGACCCATTTAGGACTCGGAAAAGAGACCACCAAGTGGGGTGTCTGCAGGGGGTGGTCAAAAAAGGCAAGGTGGCGCCCGTGGCAGTGCCCAAATATGTAGGGGGAGAGACACAAATTTCTCATAGGCTGAGCAATAAACTTCCATTAGAAACTGGGTTTCTGTGCCTGAACAACAACCTGCCTACATTAGCAGGCCAGATTCAGTGGCCTTGGATGTTGATAAAGAGAAAACTGATCATTTCAATACTTTGCTGTTCTGGAATCATCCAGCTCAGAAATTCTATGTGCTGTTGCACTCTCTTGGAACTCTGCACATGCTCTGAAAGTCAAGGTTCTATCAAGCGGATAAAGGTAACAACGATGCTAGAGGGACTGCACTTTTTATTCACAAAATAAATAAAATAAATAAATAAATTGCCCATGTGCAAAGGATGTGGCTTTCCTTTACTCTTCTTCCCCCTGCCTGCTTTATAGGTACTCAACTTACAACCACAATTAGGACCAGAACTTCTGCCGCTAAGCGATGTGGTCATTAAGTGAGTCACACCTGATTTTACCACCTTTTTGCCACAGTCATTAAGTGAATCCGGCTTTCCCCATTGACTTTGCTTGTCGAAAGCTCCCTGGGAATGTCGCAAATGGCAATAATTTGACCCCGGGACGCTGCAACCATCATAAATACATGCCAATTGCTAAGTGTCCAAATTTTCATCACGTGACCACAGGAATGCTGCAATGGTCATAACTGCGAGGATCGGTCATAAGTCACTTTTTTCAGCGCCATCGTAACTTCAAACAGTCAATACAAAATGGTTCTAAAACAAGAACTGTTTAGGTTTTCTTGTTTTAAAAAGGAAGCTCTACTAAAATCTTTGCAATGGACTACAGTTGCAAAACTGTTAAGCCACTACTTGTGTTCTTAATATTTTTTATAAGATTGTTGGATTTGCAAAGCCTTCCATACTAAAACTTTGGGAAAGAAAATTCCAACTGGCTTACTCCTTCATATTTCTAGATCTGGAATCTTCCAAAAGCATTAAAGTGCTTTACAGCAATCTCACAGCCCTTTTCTAAGGAGAATCCATGCACTGAGACACACACACAGGAAAAAGATTTTCTCTGCCCCGATCCAGAGCCAGTTTGGGCTAGCGGTGAAGGCTCCAGGCTAGAAAGCAGGAGATTGTGAGTTCCAGTCCCGCCTTAGGCATGAAAGCTGTCTGGGTGATTTTGGGCCAGTCCCTCCCTTTCCGCCCAACCCACCTCACAGGGTTGTTGTTGTGGGGAAAGTAGGAGGAGGAATTAGGTATGTTTGCTTCCTTGAGATTTATAAAAATACTAAAATCCATCTCAGGGCAGAGGCTGCATTTGACAACAAAATCTATGGAGCAGGCAAGGCTAAGGGGCCAATTGCACATCATGCTAAGTTTCAAAATAGGGTCACATATCACACTAAACCCTAATGATACGTGCTTATTTGTGGTTTAATATCTTGTGAAAACTCAGTCCATCCAGACTGCAACGTATTCAGCAAACCATGGTTTAACCTAGTACGTGAACCTGCAGCTTGTTTGATTTCAGCTTCACAAGCTGTCTGGATCCAGGCATTGAAGTTTATTTATTTATCAAATTTTCATGGCCGCCTATCTCACAGAAAGTGACTCTGGGCGGCGTACCATGAAACCAACAATTAAAACATTCTACAAAAACCAGTTAAAACAATTAAACATAAATAAAAACAAGATCCCAAGAGGGAATGCATCAGAATATTACACGTGATGCAACCAGCGTGCGGTGCTCTGTTGCCAGGGGATCCCCAGGCCTGTTGAAAAAAGCATAGTCTATGGTTTAGCATAATGTGTGAACTGCGCATTATGGCTTAGTCAACAAACTATGGCTAAAACACATCTTAGATCAACATATGACCCAATTATTCACTGGCTCAGGAGCGAGATCATAGCCAAACAGAATCCTGTCCCTGGATCTGACTGATCAACACCAAAATGTCTCTGTTAACCTGGGGTGCTCCAGTTAGGGTCTCTTAACCTGGGGTCCTCCAGTTAGGGTAGACTAAGGAAGTTCAAATGCTAATTGAACATTATCGAAGGACAGTCTCCATATACCTCAAAAGGGTGGGTTGGGAAGGCAACGCTACCCCAGATTAGTTCTTCTATAGCAGTGTTGCTCAACCTTGGCAACTTGAAGATGCGTGGACTTCAACTCCCAGAATTCTCCAGCC